GAAAGATCCTTCTGTAGAATTAGGAAACTCTGCTTGCTTCATGGTCCAGACAGACACAGCACAGCTTAAGAGCAGAAGAATGCAAACAAGCCAGCACACAGACACCTACTAGTTAGAGTGTTTAGCCAAGCAGTGGAAAGGCTGATATCTGTCTGAGACAGAGCACAGCATCATCTGCCACTTTTCAGGAGCCTGGGGTGAGACTCATCCCCCTCTTCCTTTGAGCAAACACGAGTGAAAAGGCTCAGGGGGGCAGAGACAACTTGGCACGGGAGACAGAGACTTTTCTGAGCTTCCACCCAGTGGGATTTGCTTATTTTACCCAGCAAACCTTCAATGCCTTCCCCAGATCCACTTTGCATTCATTTCCTGCTACAGATTTAAAGGGAAATCACACACACAGCCCTAGAGAATGAGCACAAGGAACAGCCAAGAAACATCTGTGAGCTTGAGTGATAACTATACAGAGCTGAGATGTGAGAACTGTCCACAGCAGCTTGTACTCTGCAATAAAACCCTCTGAGAAACTTGATTTATCACAGCAGGGCTGCAGCTCCCCTTGCAGCCAGCATCCTTCCCTGGGCAAGGGCATCCTGCACTGGGCAAGGGGATCCCTCACTCCAAACCTGTTTTACAACCCTGTTCTCCAAACTAGACAACTTCACCTCTGTTTGCCAGTCCCAGGGCTGCAAATAAACTTCCCTGTGCCAGGGAATCCTTCAGTGGGCAAGGGATCCTTCCCTGGGCAAGGGGATCCTGCACTGGGCAAGGGGATCCCTCACTCCAAACCTGTTTTACAACCCTGTTCTCCAAACCAGACAACTTCACCACTGTTTGCCAGTCCCAGAGCTGCAAATAACCTGGCACTGCCTTCCAGCACCAGCCTTGGTTCTCAGCATGTCAGGTCAGCTCTAGTGAAGAGCACTTTGATTGCTTTTCTTCTTTCATTCTTTACCTTTCAAGCAAAGTTCACATTGTACTGCAGGTCCAGAGAACTGCTGTGCAGGAACAGGAGTTGGGTGTTCCTCCCTGCCACAAAGCAGTTTTTGAAAGAGGAGACTTCACACAGGCTCAACCAGGCTTTGAAGTCAACCATCCACGGAGATGCATCCAGAGGGATTTCCATCCTCTCTGTGTTGTTTTCACTGACTAGAGAGCAAACAGGAGTGTATCAATATGCCTGTGGAAGGATTTGGGGCCTTTGTCCTTAATGCAATGTGGCTGTGTGGTTTATCTACATCACTTGTGGTTGCTCTGTGGACATAGCTTAAAATAGATGCTCTTTGCCCAGAGGTGCTGCAGGATGGAGTTCCTAGCTGGAAGTTTGGGGAAGTGACCTGCTGCAATTGTGATTTTGAGTAGATTGGCCTGTTTGCCTGCATTAATGCTTCTGCAGGGAAAATCCAGTTTGGAAGTCAGGAACTCTCTTTAAACTGTGCAGAGAGACTTCTGTGGCCTCAGTTCCTGCAGTGATGAGGGGCATTTTTGCAGAATGCTGGCAGAGATTTGAGCCCACTGACATCCAGCCTCTGCTTAACAGCTTAGATAGGAAAATGGAATGGTAAAACCAGCAGAAGTGTCTCAAACAGGTAGGAAAGTAGAATGGTAAAACTACAAGAAATGTCTCAGATAGGAAAAGAGAGTGGTAAAACTAGCAGAAATGTCTTAGGAAAATGGGATGGTAAAAGCAGCAGAAATGTCTCAAACATGTGGGAAAACAGAATGGTAAAACCAGCAGAAATGTCTTAGATAGGAGAATGGGATGGTAAACCCAGCAGAAATGTCTCAAACATGTGGGAAAACAGAATGGTAAAACCAGCAGAAGTGTCTCAAACAGGTAGGAAAGTAGAATGGTAAAACCACAAGAAATGTCACAGATAGGAAAATAGAGTGGTAAAACCAGCAGAAATGTCTCAGATAGGAAAAGAGAGTGGTAAAACCAGCAGAAATGTCTTAGATAGGAGAATGGGATGGTAAACCCAGCAGAAATGTCTCAAACACGTGGGAAAACAGAATGGTAAAACCAGCAGAAGTGTCTCAAACAGGTAGGAAAGTAGAATGGTAAAACTACAAGAAATGTCTCAGATAGGAAAAGAGAGTGGTAAAACCAGCAGAAATGTCTTAGATAGGAAAATTGGGATGGTAAAACCAGCAGAAATGTCTCAAACAGGTAGGAAAATAGAATGGTAAAACCAGCAGAAATGTCTCAGGTAGGAAAATAGAATGGTAAAGCCACAAGAAATGTCTCAGATAGGAAAAAAGAGTGGTAAAACCAGCAGAAATGTCTTAGATAGGAAAATGGGATGGTAAATCCAGCAGAAATGTCTCAAACAACTCAGTGACTTCCCAGCCCTGTCACTTCCAATACTGGCCCTGCACTGGGACAACTAGTTTGAACACCACTTCTCCAGCTTCATTAAGTGCATTTGGCTGCTGCTGGCAGGTAATTAGCAGAGCTCTCCCAGGCTGGGGACACTGGGGTGTTCCCTGATGTTCCTGGGTTCCCAGAGCATTAAGGCATGATGCTGCTTGTATTGCTGCCTTGCAAAAACCAGTTGCATCATGAAGCAACATTCATCATCTGACATCTCCAGGTCCTTCACAGCACAAGGGTTGGGTTCAGTTGTGACTCTTAAGGTGTACACTTTCAACTTTCACTTAGGCCTCTTGGCTGGCCTAATTAACTCAGGCTTTAATTGGAGATCAATCTTAGCTCGAAGACTCAGTGCCAGCATTTCTCAACTGCTGGAACCAAACTCAATGGTCTAAACCTCTAGTTCCTAGATCTTCCTCAGTGTTATTGTTCTTTCTGCACTGCAGGGATCCCCCCCAGTGGGAGGTGTTGCTATATTATCTGTCTCTTGTCTTTAGGATCCTCTCTGAACCCCCAAATCTCACTCCATGGATTTGTTTTGGGTGTTCCAACACATAAAGGCATCAGGGATTGTTTACCCTGGAAAATCTGAGAAATACAAAGCAAGCTACAAGTTTCCTCCCAGGGAATGAAGCTGTTGAGTGTCCTTAGTATCTGTAACCCTTCTACTGGAAATATATATGAGATGAGTTGCTAAGGGAATATTCATCCAACCCCAGAGTGAACAAGGCCTTAAACCCATCAGGAAATGATGTGCTAAACTTCTTATGTTGTGGTCCATCCTCAGAGCACCTTAAGAATCCACCTCCTCCTATCACCAGTTCTTGTGCTATTCTATAGTCTCCCTGGACCTCTTTTTAAGGTTGTTTTTAACATGGGAAGCTTAGATTGTGGGTTTTTTAGGGGCAATATTTATTCCTGTTTGCAGTATCACACACTGAACCACCTCCCTTCACCTCCCCTGCCCTTGCTGCTGTCTGTAGTGTTTCCTTTTGCCATCAAGTGAGGCTGTTTTAACCCATGCCAAACCTGCCTGACTGTGCCATTTGCATTGTGGCTATTGGAACTATCTCTGTCATTTCCATTTGCAAATGCTAAATCTCCCTCTAAACTGGTGTGTGGGGCTGCTCTTAAATGTCTGTTCCATCCCCTCCCAGAGGCTCCCAAACTGCCTTGCTGGGTGAAAGGGATGTTAGAACTGCAACAAGCTGGGGAGAATCAGGAGCAAGTACTGATTTACAATATTCCTTTGAGACAAATCTTAATTAAAAGGGCTGTAAAAGTGTAATATTGTTCTCTCCACCTTTCAGCCATCACCTGATACTTTTGCCTGTTATCTTTCTCTGCTAATCCCTCATGTTTGGGAGTCTCTATGTGCTCTGCTTTTCTTCCCAAAATCCTTCCAGTCCTTGTCTGTATGATTTCACTTATCTTTTTTCCAGAAGAATATCCTGATGTTGAGGTGTGAGGAGGGAAATAATTGCTCAGATGTGCTTTTTTTTTTCACCTAGCTAACAATTAATACCATCTGGATGCAGCTTCTGTGGCTCAAGGAAACAACTTGTGCTTCAGTGCAATAGCTCACATTGCTTAATGCAATGCAATGGATAAATGGCTCTAAAATAGCTTTATCTCATTGCATTTTCCTGCTGGGCAAATCCTCTGATGCAGAGGATATCTCACAGTGCACATGAGGATGGAAAAAGGCAAGAATTCCTCCAAGTCACTGGCTTGAAAACATGAGAACTATTGCATTAAGCTCATGTCTTTACTCTTTTGATCAATATTAGAGCAAATTTGCTCATCTTGAAACCAATATAGCTCCCTGATGAAGCTGGGCCACAAAACCCTTCCAGATCTGCTCTGACCCTCTGTGGAAGATGAGACTGAGCTCATGGCAGCATTCAGCTCACCACTGAAGGCTGTCAGGGTGAGTGGGTGATGTTTAGAGGGCAATGCTCTCCTCATCCCCAACATCAATGTGAGGATGCAGCTCCTCAGCACTGAGATACCTCTGACCACATTTCCTTTGGGTTGTCCCTTCCTTCTGTTTTCTAAGGCAATAAACCAACTCTCAAATTGTTTTTACCTCTGTAAAATAGAGCTTTCCTTAACTGGAACAGCTGGAGTCAGTGGCTCTAAGGCAGCTGTGCTTGAGTCCAGCTCAGGAGGATGTCCAGCCACTATAGAGACTGGCACCAAGACAAGAGTCCTGATGGGCTGGTTCCTTGTCTGAGCTGGCTGACAGCTTGTTGCCTGTGCTTTTCTTGAATGGAAAACTGGAAAGGTTTAAACCACAACCCTCAGGGCAACTCTGATCACAACCCCCCCAGGTTTTCATGTCCTATTCCATCCTGGGATGGGCAGCTGGGTTAGATGTGTGAGAGTGGATTTATCCATCTCCTATCTCCTCTGCCTCTAACTGTTGACCTAAACCAAAGTGCTTTTTGGTAGTATAACCATTTAGTAAAAGATCCTACATGAACAACAGGTTGGCAGAGCTTTGCTAACACAACAGAGTTGCTGAACACAGGGAATTTCTGCCAACTCTAGTTCCTCAACAGCTCTGGGGTGAGTGTCCCATGGGTGAGTGTCCCATGGGCAGGTTGCCTGTAGTCATAGCTGTGCTGTGCCCAACCTGCACACACAGCAAACATGGAAAGATCTTGAAATGCATCAGCACAGGCTCTGGCATGACGTGTTGGGCATGGACATGGGAATAGGAACAACCCAGGAACGGGTTGCCCTGAGTTAACGGCACAAGGCATTGCTACCAGCAGGTCCTGGGCTGAGCCAGGGCCATGGCACAAAGCTGTCTGTCCTGCCCAGCTCCACCAACTGCCTTCCAAGTGCTGCTCTGAGCTTCTCTGGGGAGCCACTGCACACCAAAACGCCAATGGAAGCTAAGTGAAGTTGCTGATCTAAGCCAACCATGGTGGATCCACCTCCTGCCTCCTCCTTTCGTGAGCTCCTTAGTTTTTTCCAAGCATTCCCCAGCTTCATCACAACATGAAAGCTCTCAATTCCGAGCAAATTAATCCACAATCCTGTCTAAACAGAATTCCTGCCCCAGGCATCATCCTCCTGTTGCAACACTCGTCCAACGTCATTCCGTAATGAGATGAAAACTGTTCTTGCTGCTTAGGCACACCCTGGGCTGGGCCAGCCCTGCACACAGTGTTGAAACAGCTCTCTTCCCCCTCCAGCTCATGACTCTCATGTGATTAAAAGTGGCACCATGACAGTAGGCTGCTAGGTGGGTGCTTTGCTGAGGGAGCTGAATCTCCTGCCCCAGCTCTGGGATGCTGCCCAGTGGCAGCACATGATCCCCATTTCAAGCTGTGCCAGGAGCTTTTTACCTCCCAGCAATTGCTCTGCAGGGCCAAGCACAGCTCTGCTTTGAAGTGGGCCACCCTCAGCTCCTGAGACTCCCTCCTCTCTCCTTACAGGCTGAGCTGTCACTGCAGAAGGAGCAGCTGCAGCTGAAGATCATCGAGGTGGAAGATGAAGTGGACAAGTGGCAGAAGGAGAGGGACAGGATCAAGGTGTGTATGAGCTGCTCAGTTCTCTTTCTCCTGTACCGAGGTGGTAGTAGATGCCCCAACCCCAGCAATGTTCATTCCAGGTTGGATGAAGCCTTGAGCAACCTGCTCTGGTGGGAGGTGTCCCTGCCCAGGGCAGGGGGTTGGGGCTGGATGAGCTCTAAGCTCCATCCCAACCCCTAAAAATTCTATGATTCTATGAAACTTGACACTTTCCACATCCCTCTCCTCCTTTCCTCAATTTCTGTGACATATCCAACTCTTACTCACTCCATCCCATCCCCAGTGTCATCTCATCACTCTCCCAAGCTCACTCATGCCAAACCTTGGAGACAACAACTCCTACTGAAGTCACTTTGCGCCATACCCTGCGGGAGATCAAGCAGAGGCAGCACAGCCTCTTTACACAACCACCCAAGGCACCTCCCTGCTCTGGGTCCCTTCTGCTTCCTCAATCACCTGTAGCCAGGCAGATTTTTGGAAACAAACTTGTGCTGCTTTTTCTTCCTGCTAGACCACACACACAAACAAACTGCACAAGAGCTCTGGGTTGCCCAAACACAGATAAGACAACAGGAACAGATACACTTACCCCACCAAACATCTGATTGATGGTGGAGCAGCTTATTTCCATACTGATAGAGTTCAGCAGAATAAGGGTTGGAATGTAGTCATGGTATTATTTTTGTCATTTATACCCTGACTAGAGCAGTGAAAGTATAATTTGGAGACACCCCAGAACATTTGCATGGTATTAATAGGCAAAGCCATTCTTCTCCCTTTTATGTGGTGCACACACATTGGCTCACCACTTCTGCTTTTCATCTGCTTTATTATGATGATTATTACTGTTATTATTATTATTATAAACCTGACCTAGAAATTTTAACTTGAATATACATCCAAAGTCCTTCTGAGGAGGAGTATTTTTTCAGAGAGGACCTCGAGGTCAAGTTTGTTGAGTGTTTCAGCACCTTTTATCCTTTTGAAATGGTGGGAATTTGGCCCTCAAATCGTTGAAGAGCCAAACCCATGATTTAGAAGGTAGAACAGTGTATTTAAATATCACCTGAGAGTGCAGGTCAGAAATAGAAGATAAGCTCTGACAATGGGGAAGACACTTTGCCCTTTGGATTACACACAGTTATTGCAGGAACAGTTATTACTTCTCATGACACCTTTCTCTGGTGCTAAGACTTGCACACCTGGAGTCTAAATGCTGAGAATCCTTGGATCAATCTCCCTCTGTGTCCTTCAGGAAGTCATTTACTAACAGAAAAGTTTAACACTTCCTTTCTCCTGCATCTTTCCTGCTCTGTCTTCCCCTTCCTCCTGCAGAACTACACCACCAACGAGAAAGCCACAGTGGACCAGCACTTCAAAGAGCTGATCCGTGACCTGGAGAGGCAGAGGGATGAGGTGAAGGCTGCCCTGGACCAGAGGGAAAAGATTGCTTCAGAGAATGTGAAAGAAATCGTGGATGAGCTGGAGGAGAGGGCAAAGCTGCTGCGGGAGGACAAGGAGAACAGGGAGCAGATCCACCAGATCAGTGACTCAGTGCTCTTCCTGCAGGTAACTGAGATCTCTTTGGCATTGCCTTTTTATTCCCATGAGGACAGGATTTGTCCCAAAGAGAAATCCCAAGTTAATGTAAGATGTGTTAATCTTCCCCAGTTCAATGCACATCCATGTCAGGAACTGACCTTGACATTTGAAGCTCTCTCTGCTCTGGTAGGTGAGGAATGAACTTAGACATGCCAACACTTGATTTTTTTATGGATGGCTACAACTCCTGGACAGAATATTTGTCTGTCCCCTCATCTTCACTGTTCTCCTTTGCACTTCATCTTATTTGAGGACATTATCCACTTCCCTAGGATCTAACCTTCATCTCTCATGTTCCTCAGTGACCTCTGCCCCTTGTTTTCGCAGGAGTTTGGGGCTTTGATGAGGAATTATGTGCCCCCTCCATCCCTCCCAACGTACAGTGTGCTGCTGGAAGGGGAGAGCATGAGCCCATCCATGGGACTCCTCAGGGATGACCTCCTAAATGTCTGCATGAGGCACGTGGAGAAGATCTGCAAGGCAGACCTGGGCCGCAACTTCATCGAGAGGAACCACATGGAGAATGGTAAAGCAGCCAAGATCTTCCCCTTCCTTCCCTCCCTCCTTCCCTTGGCAAAGCTGAGTGCAGAGTTAGAGGAGATGAGGTATGATGAGTGTGTGCTCACAGCAAGGGAAGTAAGCAAGGAAAAAGTGGGAGAAACACAACCTGTGGCTGGAATTCAGTCTGGAATATCAGCGTTATCCTGGATGGAGCCAGGTGAACTGCCAGGGGTGTAAAGGATCTCCTGGAGGACACACCAAGGTGTCCAAATCAGCCCCATTTCCCTGACTGCTGTTTCATGACTTCACATATTTCATGGGTTCAGCCACCTCCCGTGTGGGACTTGAGAGCAAATTCTCTGTGAGGTCAAGGACAGTGACCTTTCCCTGCTGCAAGAGCCCAGCAGGGACATTCTGCCTTGCTCCAGGCTCCAACAAGCCCCTGAAAGCTTAGCATGACAATTTCCATATGGAAGACTGCACTGATCCACTAAGACAAGTCAGTGCTCACTAGGTAGATGGAGAAGGCAGTGGCAGAAAGGTGGATGTGGCCACCTCAGGCTCCTGCCATTAGCCTCATGGACAGCTGAGTTAGCATCTTTGAGATGCTGGTATGACATAAACTGCCTGTTTCAGTCTCTGCTTGCCTTGCTGGAACATGAAATACCCCCCAGGCACCTGTGACTGAAAATCTGGTGTTGGAAAACCTCATTTTCCAAGCTAAACCATCTCAGTTTGGATGTTCAATTAAGCTGTAACTTGAACCAGCAGAACTCTCTCTGGTCATGCTCCTCTGCATGTTCCACCTGCCCTGAGCCAGAGGGTTCAAGGGACACAGTGCCAAATGCTCCTCAGACTCCAGTGATGTTTAAGGTGATCTTTCCCAGGGAGGTCATGGTCAACCCCACAGCACTGCAAGGAATCTAAGGTTATAACCCACTTCCTCTCAGTGTTTCCCAAAGGACTTGTCTTACATCAGGTTCACCCAGAAGATTAGGACAGGGCACTAGGATGAGGTTCACTTCCCAACTCTCCCACAAACAGCCTTTGTGACCTTGGGCATGTTACCTAATGCCATGCAATGGCCTCTTGCACTGAGAATAACAGGGATGGGAATGAATTGTTATCTCTGCAGGCTGCTCCAAGGATGTAATCTATTGGTAATTGGGGAAGCCCAGATAGCAGAACAATAAAGGTCAGGAAGCTGGATAGGTAAGGTGAGGGGGAATGGCATGCTGTGCTCTTCAGGAGGATGTGACTCAAAAAGATGCAGAAATAACCTCAAGTCCAGTTCAGACAACACAAGCAGCTGAGGAACTTGGCTGCAGATCTGCAGGATGGTCTAGTAACCATGGTAGGGTTGGACTTGATGATCTTTGAGGTCTCTTCCAACCAGCCTGGTTGATTCTATGATTCTATGACTTGATAGACATTCCTCCTATGTTAATACACTATCTGGTGCTATCATTCCCCACCAGATGTGAATCAGATGGACCAGACACTTCTGGTTAATAGAGTGAACCTTTCAGACAAGTCAGGAATCACACTCAGAGTGCTCTCAGTGCACAGCTAGAGATTTTCAGGCTCTGCAGAATTCCCATCTGTTGATCTGTTTTTGGCTGCTCCTGAAACATTTTACTTGGCCATTTGGACCACCCAACAAGATCAGGCATAGGCTCAGTTCCAATAGCTCAGGATAAAGACTGATCACTTCATTATCAGTTGATCACTTTTAATTGAGCAGTTCCAATAGCTCAGGATCAAGACTGATCACTTCTGTATCACTTCTAACTGATCAGTTCTAATAGCTCAGGATAAAGACTGATCATTATCAGTTGATCACTTTTAATTGAGCAGTTCCAATAGCTCAGGATCAAGACTGATCACTTCTTCATCACTTGATCACTTTTAACTGATCAGTTCTAATAGCTCAGGATCAAGACTGGTCACTTCTTTATCACTTCTAACTGATCAGTTCTAATAGCTCAGGATCAAGACTGATCACTTCATCACTTGATCACTTCCAATCCTAGTTTCACAGTATATTAAGGGGTTGGAATGGACCTTAGAGACTATCTAGTCCCACCCTACCCTGCCCTGGGTTCTCCTCCACGTTCCTGTTGCCAGAACTTGCAAATCTATGGAATTCCAGTGCCAAAAAAACATACCTAAGCAAGGCAAGAAGTAAGTCCTGCCAGAAACCTGGGTGCTTCCAGCTTTAATGGCCCCAGCTTGGAGTCTGCCTAATGAAAAGAGCAGTGCTAGGACTCAGCTGGGAAATGCTATTTCAGGGGAGTCTCAGAAACATCAGAGCTCTGAGTTTTCCAAGCTGTGGCTGCAGATGAAAGAGGGCAGCACTCTGCAGCTCCTGACTGCAAGGAAATAACTCCACAATTACTTAATGGATTTAATTAACTCGGACTCCCCCTGAGTCACTGCAACAAATTCATTTGCAACTGGCTTGATCTTCTTGTGTTAAAGGGAAAAAAAAAAAAAAAAGCCTTCCCAGGAAGAAATATTATATTAATGGAATGAAACCTGCTTAATAGCAGACTCCAAAGGGAATCACTTCCCTTCAGTTGTCATAACAGGTTCCTACGTAGTAGCATGACAGAGAGACAAATAAGCCAAGAGCATCTAGGGAGTTTAAACAACACAGAAATAAATTGGAGAAATAAAATCCAAGTTTGTTCAGTGACTTAAGAAGCAAAGAATGGAACTACTTAAACACAGGAACTAAGTTTGCTTCCTTGTAAAGAACAATAGGTTTATAGAGACCTGATGAGAAGGTATTTTTATGAGCAGGTGCATTGATAAAACAGCATTTCCTATGGGTCAGGGTGAGAAAACCAAACCCAGGCTGTGTCAGAGCTGCCAGAAGAGTAGAGTTCATCCACTGCTCAGGCCTTGAACACTTGTCCAAGAGTCTAGAGCTGTTTGCAGCTCAGGTTTAGCATCTTTCTCTACATATTAGGTCTCCCAACACTGCCTGTCTTGAGCTTAAAATCCTTTCAGTTGCAAACCAACCCTGAGCTCAAGCTAACACACAAGAGAAGCCAAACCCAAACCACTGCTTTGGAAGTGGGACACAGTTTTAGCCACACAGCAGGATTTGGGCAGGAAAATGCCACCAACCCTCATGTTTCCCTATAGTTTTTAGGAGACACTTGATCTCCTGAGTGGCTGCTGCTAGTTTTCCCTTTCATCCCAGACTGAACTTCTGGGCAGCTCCAGCTCAAACCAGAGTCCACAGGGGAATTAAGAGTTAGAGGAACTTGTTTCCAAGGAGCAGCACTCAAGAAGTCAATTCCATTCTGTTATCCCTTCCCACTCCTCCCATCTATCTTGTGCCTCCTCCAGCTCATGTCCTGCTCTGCTCCTCCAGGTGACCATCGGTTCATGATGAACAACTATGAGTGGAACCAGCCTGACAACCTGAAGAGATTCTCCATGTTCCTGGCTCCCAAAGGTATGTGACCCTCTTGGTGCTCAGGTTTCCTCCAAACACAGCTTAGGAAAGGAACTTCAGTGGTGATGTGGCCTAAAATTTGCCTTCCCTCATATTTCCCAGGTCCATCCCTCTGCCTGGTTGTGCTGAGCCTTCTCTTCATCTTAAAGAGCTTTGAGAAGGTTTTGTCATCTCAAGGCAGAAAAGGTTCTCAGATTTATGGAGAAAAGGTGAAGTCACTGAGCTCTGTCAGACCACAGTTAGTGAATACAAGGGAGTTTTCACATGTGTTCCTAGGTTAAAGTCAGTGTCATTCTCCACCCAAAGCTTATCTTACTGTGCTATCAAGTGTGAAAGCTGCACTAGGCTTGCTCTGCATTAGGATTTGACTTTCAGCAGCAAACTTACTTTTTCTCCTTACAGAAAAAGGCCAGAAGAAGTGAGGAAAGTGTCCTAAAAAAGCAGTGTGTTCTTGCTGAGCTCTGACAACAAGAGCCCTGGAGATTTGCTGTGTCCCAGTTGTTCCATGACCACTCCAGGATGAGTCTTTGGAGTGAATGACTCTTTTCAACACATTCAGTCCTAAACTGACAGTTGTCTGGTCCTAAATTAGCATCAGGATCTCCAAACTGAGAAGGCTGAGAGTGCTGAAAGCTCAGGCAAGGCAAATGCCTGGAAAACCACCAGGAAGGGTAGCACAAACAACTCACTCAATTTCATCCCTTTCTGGCTTTTCCAGCTGTTTCCAGCTGCTGTTCTGCTAAACCAGAGGGTGGGCAGGGAGATGGCAGCAGTTAGCAGCAGCACTTCCCTGGAGGCTTATTCCTGCTCTGTCTTGAGGTTTCCTGGGGATAACCCAGATCCCAACACTGAGCCCTTTGTCTGGATTGCCACTCTGCCCTTCCCCTCTGCTCCCTGCCCAAGCCTGGCAGCTCCCTGCAGCCCTGCCTGGCACCACAGGGTGAGGACTCTGTGTGGAGCAGATTCCAGGGGCAAGGACAGCATTCCCAGCCCAGTGTTCCCTGCAGGCTCCCCAGGTTAGGGGGCAGAGGGAAATTTGCTGGGTGGGTTTGTTTTGCATGGAATCTGGCTCCAAACATCTCCCAGATGGTTCGAGCTGCTTTTCCACCCCAAGGGAAACACATGTCCTGCCAAGCAGAGCTGGTGGTGCTGGGGAGAGACCACAACTCAGCCCTGCAGCCAGAACTGTGCTGGAGTTCATGCTAAAATCAGTTCAATTTGCTAAATTCACTTTAGGAAAGTTAATTCTGAAGCTGCACAAGCTGAAACCATCTCTAGCCTAACGTGGAGTGCTCTCTCCTCCTGCAATGCCCTTTTGACAATACAAACACTGGGAGAGCATTTATTCCACCTACACATCTGTGTTTTCCTGACAGCACATTCATGCTGCCTTCCAAAACTACTCACTCTATGTTTTCTACCAACAAAGTCACTTTGTCCAAAACAACTAAAGCCCATGATTGCACACACAGTCTGTGCTGAAATGGGGATTGACCAGCACTGGGTTCCCCATCAGAGTCAGGGCTCAGGATCCAGCTGGGACCAGAATGAACCAGTAAGCAAAACAGAAGAAATGACCCACTTAGCTCATGGTGGCTAGCAAAGGATTATCCCTGAATAATGATCCATCATCATTTAACTCTCTAGAGCTTTCTGTGCTCTCTCCATGTGTCATGCCAAAGTCCAGCACTGCAGCTGATTGCATCTTTCCTAAGGAATTCCATAAAACAGGAGGGAAGGAGGAGTTTTACCCTTTGCATTGTGTAATGTGCACAGAATCCTTGAGGATCTCATGCTGCTTTGGTAACACCTTTTGTCCTGCTAGGTTGGATCACTGCCTCAGATCACAGTGGTAAATCTCTTTGCTGCATTGAGGGATGTGCCCAAATAGTGCTAATTGCAGTGACCCAAGCTAAGAAGCTGCTGGGATTTGGCTGAACCTCTGAGGTTTTAAGCCTTGCTTAAATTCAAGGAGACTTCACCCCTCTTGTCATTAAGGACAGTATCACAGGGAATGGCTTCACACTGACAAGGAACAGGTTTAGGTGGGATATTGGGAAGAAATTCTGCCCTGTGAGGGTGCTGAGGCACTGGCACAGTGTGAAACTGTGGCTGCTCCATCCCTGGAAGTGTTCCAGGCCAGGTTGGATGGGACTTGGAGCAACCTGGGCTGGTGGAAGGTTCCATGTCAAGAGGTGAAACAAGATGATCTTTAAGGTCCCTTCCCACCCAAACCATTCTATAACTCTATGAGAAAGCATTTTCCTGCAGGGATGACATGATGAGGCAGAGGAAAGACATAAAAGGTTTCAAATGCTGCCTAAAAGACCAGAGGAACAATCTGCTTAACTGCTCAATGCTCCTTTCTCTCCTCTCCCACTAAGCTTTCTTCTCCTGATGGTGCAACCAGTTTGGCCAAAGCCAGGAGGAAGTTGGAAAGATCATCTTGTGCCTTTGGAAAGGCTTTGAATGATGAGCAGAAAGGACTTAGGCACACAAAGAGGGAGAGAGAAGTGTGTAAATAGAAGCAGAGCTTAAATGGAGCAGCAGCCCACAGGATGGCAGCATAGCAGCTCAAAGCTTTCCTCTCTTTCCCACTCCTCTGGGAGCCCAGTGCCTCACAAAAGGGGTTCAACAGCACCAATCTGCAGCACAGCACGACGTGCTGGTGAAACCCTGGAGCACATGCCTGTCACAGTGCTGAGACACTGTGCTTGAGCAAGAAATGTTCCTCTACTTGTGTCCCTCCTGCTCTAAATCGAAGCCTCTACATGCAGATTTCTCTGCAGGATAGTCATGTTGAGGAGACAAACCTAGGCTGGTCATTTCTTGCAGCTCAGGACAGCTGTATGGCAGTGAGAGCTTTGTTCTCCCAATGAGAAGTCAATTCTCCATCCCTAGAACCCAAGGCAGACAGACCAGGCTTCCCTCTGCTCCCTATACCCAGGTTGCTGGTTTGGGGCTGCCTCCAAAGCAGTGGGGAGTGTTCCACAGAGCAATGCCAGGCACAGGCCTTGGAGCCAGCTCACCAGGAGCCAACTACTCAACTGGATGCTCTTGTTTTACAGCCAATTTCAACCCACGATCATGGGAATTTTCCTCCTTCCAAGCGACTGAGGAAACACTTGGTACGGGTAATTCCCACTTCAGTTTGAAAGGATCTAACCCCCCGTGCCACAGCTTTCTAGCTGACTAACCAACCTGTCCTGCATCCCCTCTCAGCTGTCCTGTCACCTGGCAGTCACTGTCTCCCAGAAGCAGCTCGTGCTGGGTTGGCAGCACTGTCTGCACCCACCCAAACCCAGGGGCTCAGTGCTGGGTGTGAGCAGGAGGGAAAGGCATCCCTGGTTCTCACCATCCATACAGTGAAAGGAGGTGGAAAACACAGGAGCCACAAGATCCTGAGATCCCTCACCAACTGCAGTTCATCATCCAAGGCAAATCTGTGGAGCTTGTGGCAGAACCAGGACAGACTCCAGATACACTCAGCCAGTCTCAGAGGCACAAAGCTGCTTCTCTCCATCTCACAAACACTTTTTGCTTAGCTCATTAGTTCCAGATTCTCTCAGCCAGTCTCAGAAGCACAAAGCTGCTTCTCTCCATCTCACAAACACCTCCTGAGTTCCCAGAGACAGAGCCTGCCCCGTGCTCAGTCTGATGGGAAGGGGATGGTTGGAGTTAGTACCCCAAGAACCAGCAGCAGGGAGTCCATTCCTTTGCTTCCCACATCCCCATCTTCCTTCTCCTCACCTATATATTCTTACTTTGCTGCTCAGAGGGTCCAGATTTGCCCTTTATTCAGCAGCAGCCTCCAAGCAGCCAGAGGCCACTGCACCTGGGGGAGCTCT